TCTGCTCTGATCTCAGAAAATATCCCAGGCCCTAGGAGATAAGCCTAAAGTCACTTATAGTTCAACCAAATGTCTTGTTTCATTGTGCCAATCTAGGGCATGGCACGAGACAGAGGCCCACAGCCAGCAAGGCAGAATGTCTGGGCCAGCCAGGGAGCTCCACTTGTTTCTTAGGCTATTCAGTATCCTCAGATACTAGCTTCAAAGCCGGTAAACTCAGGACTCTAAATGAGGACAGACTAACCCGAGAAACGGGGACAGGTGTTCACTGATACCCCACTTTGAAAACCCACATGGGGCATTATAATAGCGTTCTCCATCTGTCCAACCTCAGGGGTTAATCCGTCCTAATCTAAGCCATAATAATTGGGTAATCAGACAAGTCACACCGAGAAAACCCAGGCCATTGCTTTGCTGTTCTTTTTGGCTAGAGATTTTTTTTTTTTCTTTTTGACAGCAAAGTAGAGCTGACCTAGAAATTTCCTGCTCAGAGTTTCAATCTTCCAGTAAATAAAAGCAGACACTTGGGAGAAGGAAGCTTGTTTAGAAAAGCCCAATTCTCTTTCTAGGGGACAATTTGAGTCATTGTCTCCCCCCTGCCCCCCAACATACAGGATTGAGAGCTACTTGGGGCCAGGTCACATGATTCCAGTCTTTGCTGAAAGCTAAAATGAAAAGAAAAGGGGAAAAAAAAAAAAAGTCCCATCCTTAGCTTGGCTAGTGAGCTCAGTGGTGTGAATCCAGGAGCCATTTAAGATGAATAGGTTGGCTGAGATTTCTGACTTTTGAAAAAAAGAGTAGCCTTGCTGGGATGGTTGGTAAAAGAAACATAAATGAAAACTGAAGGAATATGGATCAGAGTCTTAACCCAAAGCCTGTGAAGAAAACCCAGTAGGTGGTTAGGGTCTGCGGCAGAACAAAACCTGGCTATTTGAGGATTCACCATCATAAAGAAAAAACAGAGTCTTTTTCTTTTCCAAAGGAGGAAAAATCACCTCCAAGCCAGAGGTCTGGTCACTGGCAAGGGCGAGTGTCACCTGTGTTCATGTCAGTACCCAGCCCACAGGAGCGCTCAAATTCTCCTTTGAAAAAGGATGGATTAGCTGGATGTGCTGGTGTTTTACACCTAGTATCCTGGCTACTCAGGAGGCTGAGATGTATCAGTGTTCAAAACCATCCCTGGGAAGAAAACTCTGTAAGACCCTTATCTCCAATGAACCAGTAACAAGTTGAGGAGAAGGCATGGCTCAAGTGATACAGCCCCAGCCTTGAATGAAGAAGCTGAGATCTGAGAATCACCATTCAAAGCTAGCCTGGGCAGGAAAGTCTGTGAGACTCTTAGCCACACAAAAAAAGCCAGAAGTGGAGGTGTGCTTCAAGTGGTAGAGCAACAGCCTTGAGCCAAAAAGTCAAGCAAGAGCTTGAGGAACTGACTTCAAGCTCTAGCCTATTACTGGCGCTCATGCACACAGACAGACAGACAGACAGACAGACACACACACACACACACACACACACACACACACACACACACACACACACTGAGCTCCATACCTTCCACTGAGGGAAACTCCAGAGGAGTGGGGAGAGACACTGTCCCCCAATGAGCTAAGGGACCTGAGAGTCATCATGATGGGGACTTAGGCAGGGGACTTAAATGAGGGACAAGGACAGACCAACAGTGGCCTGAAGACACAAGAGTGACTTCTTGTGTGTCTTCAAAAGCCATGAAAGTAGGTGGGGATGGAGTGGGTGATTTCAGAGACTATGATAAGGAAATGTGAAAGCAGAAAGTGGCTTCCTCTAATTGCTGGATGAGGGCTGAGGAACTTGGGCAGAGGGCCCAAGTCTGCACTACCCAGGATAGTGAACACATGCCATCTGTCTGCTGAGGAGGCACAGGGCAAAGAAGAGCTTTTTAAAATGAGTACAAGAGGCAGATGCTGTAGCACAGATATTTCTCATCGCAGCTACAGGGAAGGTAGAGATAGGAAGATTGAGGCTGGAGGCCAAGTTAAAAAGATAGCAAGACCCTATCTTTGAAAACAAGCGGAGCCTGGTAAGAGACTGCTGTAATGCCAGCTAAGCAGGAGGCAGAAGTAAGAGGATCATAGTCTGAGGCCAGCTCAGATCGATGAAGACCCCACGTGAAAAGGAGGGAGGGCTGGTCTCAAGTGGTAGATAACTTGCCTAGAAAGTACAAGGGCCCTAAGGACAAGGAACTGGAACTTAGGCTCTGAATGGCTGTTCCAGAGTGAGGTGGATCAATCCTGCCTCATTGTCTCAAATTCCTGTGCTTTGCCTCCTCCCCCACTGATGTGGGTCATCCTCACACTATGCCTTGCTTGCCTCTCCTGCTAGTATTGTTTTTTTTTGCCAGTCCTGGGGCTTGAACTCAAGGTCTGTGCACTGTCCCTGAGCTTCTCTGTGCTCAAGGCTAGCACTCTACCACTTGAGCCACAGTGCCACTTCCGGCCTTTTCTGTTTATGTGGTGCTAAGGAATCAAACCCAGGGCTTCATGCATGCAAGACAAGCACTCTACCACTGAGCCATCTTCCCAGCATCCTGCTAGTATTTATCCTGCTAGTATATATATATATATAGGAGCTGGTATTTATTGATATATTTGAATATAAATTATATGTATTTTCATGTTTATTTATATTTCATATATATGTGGGGTGGGGTGCCAGTCCTTGGACTTGAACTCAGGACCTGGGTGTTAGCCCAGAGCTGCTTTTGCTCAAGGTTCACATTCCACCACTTGAGCCACAGCTCTACTTTTGACTTCTTGTGCTTAATTGTGGATGAGTCTCCTATGGATTTTCTTGCCTGGGCTGGCTTCAAACTGATATCCTCAAATCTCAGCCTCCTGAGTAGCTAGGATTGCAGCCACCAACACCTGGCTCTGCTGCTAGCATTAGATGACTCCTACTGCTGCTTTGGCTGCCCTCTAATCCTGCATTTATCCATGCCCACAGCCCTGGCATGCTGTCCGCTCACCCTCTGCTATCTGGCCTCATTCTGCCCTCATTTTGGCTGCCCTAAGCCTGCTTTGATTCTGGCAACTGAAAAGACCCCATCCAGTTCTGCAATCTGAAATGAGATACTTACTCAGAGTGGCTCTGGCTAAATAGAGCAGAAGCAAAGAGGATGTTTGGGAGGTGCTGGTAAGTGGTAGCAATGTGGTGACGTTTAGAAGGCCACTCTACCTTAGGTATAGGGGATAGAAAAACAATAGAATCACAGAAAGGAGCTGGGCACCAATGGTTTATGCCTGTAATTCCAGGTACTCAGGAGACTAAGATCTGAGGATCATGATGTGAAGTCAGCAGATAAATCTAAGAGACTCTTATCTCCATTTAACCAATGAGAAGACAGAACTGGAGGTAAGGCTCAAGTGGTAGTGTTGGACTTGTGTGAAAATGCTCAGAGACAGAGCCCAGGTCCTGAGTTCAAGCTCCATTACCATGAAGGCAAGAGAGACAGAGAAACAGAGAGACAGAGAGAGACACACACAGACAGAGACAGAGACAGAGAGAAGAGAAAGAGAATAAAGAAAGGTAAAGGAAGAAAGGAAGGAAAAGAAAGGAAGGGAGAAAGTGAAAGGAAGGAAAAAGAGAAAGAGAAAGGAAGAGAAATAAGCAAGGAAAGAAAGCCTACGATGAGTAGGAAAGAGACTGATATTTGTGTTTATGTGTAAGTACTATATATAATTGAATAGTATTTAACACGAGTGTTGAATAATACACAACATATATTAATGATGTGTGTGCTTCTTCAGATTTCTTTCCTCTGCTTATAAGCCCTCAGCTGGGATCATGAAAGCAAATGTCAAGATGACAATGTTATTAGTTGCCTTCAAAGTCAGAACACAGAAAAGACCCTGACTGGCCTGCTCCCTGGGTGGGCTTTTCCTTTTCTCCAGCCCACCTGGGTCAGGGCTGTTAAAGGGTGCCTAGGCACTCAAGGATCCCTGTCATCTTTTCCTGCCCTACAGAGGGAATTGAGTACAAGCCAGACTTGGGAGGTACTAGCAACAATCAGGAATAAAGCAATATCTCACTAAAAGGAAAAGGAGAGAGCAGAACCCCAGTCAGATCCCAAGGCTCACCTGTGCAGTTTCCAAGCTACGTCAATGCCAGCTCAGTCTATTGTGACCAAATGTGAGCTGGACAGTGCCTTCTGTCACTTGGAGTCTGGGGGAAAAAAGCCATCAATGTCCTTGAAGGACCAGGCAACTGCTGGTTGAGCTTTCTTTGCTGAGATGCAAGTTGGTGCCTGGCTGATGGCTAGTGCTTTTGTAGTAGACATGACAGCCCTAATATTAAGGATGCAACACTGATTTGAAGATCATATTGAGCCCTGGTCCAGAAAGATGTAAATGTACACTTCAGTCCTGCTAGGCTTGTGAAGGGAAAGATATCAGGATGCATGAAGGTTAACACATGACAAAAGGAAATTTGTGTGTGTGTGTGTGTGTGTGTGTGTGTGTGTGTGTGTGTGTGTGTGTGTGGCAGTACTGGGCCTTGAATGCAGGGCCTTTTGCTTGGCTTTTTTTTTTAAAACTCAAGCCTGGCACTCTACCACTTGAACCATGTATTCATTTCCATGACTTTGCTAGTTAGAGATAAGAGTCTTGTGGACTTCCCCCCCCCCCCCCCAAGCTAGCTTTCAACCTCAATCTTCAGATGTCAAGTGAACCACTGACCCCAGCTCAGGAATATTTACGTGTTTTTTTTTTTGGGGGGGGGGCATTGAGCTACCTAACTTGCTTTGTTGTTGTTGTTGTTGGTGGTGGTGGTGGTGGTGGTGGTGGTGGTGGTGGTGTGTGTGTGTTTGTGAGAGAGAGAGAGAGGGAGGGAGGGAGGGAGGGAGGGAAGGAAGGAAAGAGAGAGGGAGGGAGGGAGGGAAGGAGGGAGAGAGAGAGGGAAGGAGGGAGAGAGAGAGAGAGAGAGAGAGAGAGAGAGAGAGAGAGAGAGAGAGAGAGAGATCCATGATGAGGCTCCCAGGAAGAGCCGATCTAGAGGAGGAGTCAGAGGACCTGGGGTGCGTGTAGATGGACTCTGAATGCCATAATTACGATTTCAGTGTCTTCAGTCAGCTGGAGAGGCTGTGTCGTCGGCTCTCATCACCCACCTGCTAGGTAGAGTCAAAGCCAAGTGAGCTGGGCTGGGCTGGGCTGGGCTGGGCCGGGAGGGTTAGGGTATTATATAAGCCCCTTTGCAGGAAGGCGTGGAGAGGGAGCTGGTCTTTGCTGTGTGTTTTCTTGCAGCAGCAGCAGCAGCAGCAGCAGCAGCAGCCAGGGAGGCTCAGGTTGATTTAGAATCCGGATGACAGTGGCCTGGCTGGAGCCCAGGGCTGACGAAAGCTGCTTATCCGCCTCCCCCCCCCCCCTCCTCCCCAATCCCTCGGTTGCCATGGAGACGGGCGGGAGCGGCGGCGGCGGCGGCGGCGGCGGCGGCGGCGGCTGACAGTGAGCGCGCGCGTCCACGGGGGTCTGCAGAAAGCGGCGGCGGCGGCGGAGGAAGCCGGGGGTGGGATCGGGGTCGTCTCACGGTGGCAGACATGGACTTACCTTGCGATTGTACCTCGGAAACGCCAGCTCCGGAGCAGCCCTCGGGGAAGATCAACAAAGCAGCTTTCAAATTATTCAAGAAGAGGAAGACGGGGAGCACCCTGCCTAGCATTTTTGGGGTCAAACACAAAGGGGATGGGAAAAGCTCGGGCCCGGCGGGGATGGTGAAGAGCCGGACGCACGACGGCTTAGCCGAGGCGGTGTCGGTGCTGGAGAGCGGCCGGAAGGAGGAGGAGGCGGCCCGCGAGGATGGGGCGGCGGGCCGGGGCCGGGCCAGCCTGGGGGCCCCCAAAGCCCCCGAGGGGCGCGGCGGGAGCTCCCCGGCCAACCACCACAGCGCCGTGGCCAAGTCGCACAGCTTCTTTTCCCTTTTGAAAAAGAACGGCGGCGGCAGGCCGGACAGCGGCCGGGGAGGCGAGCCCTCGGACGCGGGCAAGGCTGCGGGCAAACAAAAGAAGGGGCTGCGAGGGATTTTTAGCAGTATGCGTTGGCACAAGAGGGACAAGCGCGGCGGCGGCGGCGGCAAGGATGGAGAGAAGGAGGCGGCGGCCGCGGCGTGCGCCCCGAGCCCCGGCGGCCTCCTCCTCCCCGGCTCGCTCACCGCCAGCCTGGAGTGCGTCAAGGAAGAAACGCCCCGGGCCTCCGGCCAGCCCGAGAGCCCCACCGGCCGGGAGACCCCGCCAGACCCCTCAGGTGAGCGCGGAGGGGGAGAGGAGGTGCCCACCCCCACCGTCACCAGCACCGATCGCGGCCTGGGCCGTGAGGCCCAGAGCCCCCGGGGTCCGCACGACACGCACCCCCGGGCGGAGGACTCCACGGGGTACCCCCATCCTCATCACCCGCGCACCGAGAAGTCCTGGACACCCCCCGATCCCGGAGCGGATGAGGTCGGCTCGGCTCAGGAGGCTCCCAGCACAGGTGATGTTCTGATAAAGCCTGTCCCCCCTGTCGACTCGGAGTGTGGCAGTGGCCGGGCATCTGCCATCCCTGACCTGTCTTACTCTGTTGACCCACCCTCTGACCCATCGGCCGATCGTATTTGTTTGATGTTTTCTGACGTGACTTCACTGAAAAGCTTTGACTCTCTTACAGGCTGTGGAGATATTATTGCAGATCAAGAAGAAGAGGCCGATTCCAGCTGTGACAAGCACATGCCGGGGTCAGGCCACCACGCCGCCGCCGCCGCCCTGCTCTCTAAAAAGAACCCCACCGTGATTGCTTACCAAGGAGGAGGAGAAGAGATGGCCAGCCCCGACGGGGCGGGTGACACTTACCTGCAGGAATTCTGGGACATGCTTTCCCAGACGGAGGACCCACCAGAAGCCAGGCCCCACGACAGAGTGGCGAAGGGAGCCATGACCCAGGAAGCCAAGGCGATCGTGCCAGAGACAGCCAAAGATGCCAGGCGTGCGGAAGCCGCCAAGGACGCGTCCTCCGTCAAGCGCAGGAGACTCAACCGGATTCCCGTGGATCCCCAGGCCAAGGAGGACCCCAGGCACCCCGAGAAGGAGCCGCAAGAAGGGGTCCCCAACAGTGATGAGGGCTACTGTGACTCCACCACTCCTGGTCCAGAGGAAGACCGAGTGAACAGCAGCAAAAAGGCGCGTGTGCCCCGGGACAGTGACAGCGGGGACGCCCTGTACGACCTCTACACGGAGCCCAACGGTAGCCCCGCCGCCCCTCCTGCCAGCGAGGAGAGCACCTGTTTGTCCCGGTTAAAGCCTGTGGTGCCGGGCACCATCACCTGTCCATTGCGAACACCGGGCAGTTTGCTGAAAGACTCCAAGATCCCCATTAGCGTCAAACATCTCACCAACCTCCCAGCCAGCCAGCCTGTTGGACCCCAACCACCATCCAGGAGCGACCTGCCCAGAACGAAAATCCCAGTCTCTAAAGTGCTGGTCCGGAGGGTGAGCAACCGCGGCTTAGCTGGGACCACCGTGCGGGCAGCTGCGTGCCATGACAGTGCCAAAAAGTTGTGAGAGCTCCGAGATGGAGATGAAAGGGTCCACGTGTCAGAGAGTGTGCAATTCGTCCCTGGAAACTACGGAAGGATGCTTTGCTTTCTCTAAAGAAATTCAGATAGGACTACTCTTGTTTCCCAGCCTGGGACCCTGGTGGTCTTTGGCAGGCTGGAAACAGGGGCGGGAGATAACGTTGGAAAGAGGGATCCTCCATCCAAGATAAGTCCCTGGGAAATCTTTTCAAGCACTTTCCCCACCCCGCTCCCTCCTTTTTAAAAACCTTTTGCTTTCCTTCCTCCCCCTCCCCCTTCAACATGGCGGAACACTCAGAAGTCACCTTTACTTTCCCTTGTTTAAAAAAAGCAAAAAACAAAACAACAACAACAACAAAATACAAAAACTAAGGCAACCAAATCTAAGTAAAAGTCATGCCAGAATATGAGTGCTAGAGCCAGAGGGAGGAATCATTGCAGACCAGAGGATTAGTCCTTCCCTCCTTCCCTCCCTCCCTCCCTCTCTCTTGCTTTCCTCCCTTTCTTCTCTCTCTCCATTTCTCCCTGCCTCCCTTTCTCCCTCCCTCCCTCCCTCCCTCTCTTTCCAGGAAAAACAAAAACAACAACCACAAAAAAGGACTCTTTGCTGTATCACTGTGTGACAAACATTTGGAAAGCAGAAAAAGCCAGGTAGTACCTACCCCAAAAGAAGAGGGAATTATTGATTGGCAGAAAACTTTGCTACTTCCAATGGTTAGATATGCAAATAGGTAAAGATCTACTACAAGGAAAATAAAGGCAAGCTTTTGGTTTGGTTGGTTTAGATAATTTGGGGGAGAAATAAAAGGTTCCCAGAGTAGATTTCTGTGTTTTGTTTTCAGAACGCTCCCTAACTGCCCCTCCCTATGGACCCTCCCTCAATAAAAAAAAAAATCAAAATCAGGGAAAAGATTTCAACTAAATGCCATTAGGTACGGTATTTTTTTCACCTTTCTAAGCTGCCACTTTCTTGTGTGTGGATAATACCTATTTTACAGTTTCTCCCACTGTTAAGGTTTTTATACTCTTGTCGATAACCTAAAATTTAAATGTGGTCATATAGCTACATTATGACGACTCCCCACAAACCATGGAAGTCCTTTTATGTAATAGAACCTGGAGCACTGCTGGTTTGGGTTGATAGGATCATCTGGTTCTCAAAAAAGCAAGAAAATATATACATGTTGTATATATTTCTGACCTAGAGAAATGGTTTGGCTTTGTCTTAGTTAAGAGTCTGTTTGTCCCCAACCCCCAAACCCTAAACATTGGTTGGCAGAGATTGGTTTTTACATTTTGTTTGTAAAATTTTGAATTCAACTATTCAAAATGCACTGTTGGGAGAGCCAGAATAAGGACCACAGGATGAAAAACAATAGAAAAATATTCTTTTTAATGTCATTTGACTTTTGTTTTATTATCCTAAACCCATCCTACTGAGATTTTTTTCATATATATATATGAAAAATCATATATATATATATATATATATATATATATATATATATGATTGTTAACATGCCTCAGCAGCTTGAATGGTAAAGTGAAACAGTTCCTAGAATGCTATTAATGTCTAATGCTTAAATTATATTCTCTTTGCCACGCACTTCAGTGTATTCTTCAAAGGCCAGTGCTTCTACTGGGACTGAGTCATCATATCAGAAAGATTATTCATTATACATGTAAAGATGACTCCAATATTTCTATAACTCTCATTTCCCAGAAAGATTGCTAGTAATGAGCTGCTAGTGTGTGTGTGTGTGTGTGTGTGTGTGTGTGTGTGTGTGTACTGGGGTTTGAACTCAGGGCTTGGATTCTGTTCTTAGCTTTTTCCACTCAAGACTAATGCTTTACCATTTGAGTCACAGCTTAATTTCTCTTTGTTTGTGTGTGTGTGTGTGTGTGTGTGTGTGTGTGTTTGTGAGTTTAATCGAAGATAAGAGTCACAGACTTTCCTGCCTGGGCTGGCTTTAAACCACCATCCTCAGATCTCAGCCTCCTGTGTTGCTAGGATTACAGGTATGAGCCACCAGTGACAAGCTTTTCTATTTTGTTTTTAGAGGTTTTTCCCCCTATCCCAAATTAAATATACTGAAGCTTATCTTAATAATGCAAAGGAAATAAAATAAATAGACATCAGAGAAAAACAAGCTTAAGCTAGTAGCTTAAATAATGTTGCTGATTTTAAAATAGCAATCCAGTTAGAAAAGGAAACAGAGGTTTACGAAATGCCTATATTGCTTGTTGTCATTACATTGTCTCAGATCCTTCATGTTATTTCGAAGCAGTGTTATAATATTTAATTCCCTTAGATCTATAGAAGAGGTTCTACATGTAGACATAGCCTTAAGCTTTCTGAACCCTTTATCAAGAATTTACCCTAGCAGCTCACAAGCACGTTGACACCCAACTGAATACGCATTAATAGACTAAAGACATGTAGAATTATTTCAATTTATAAATATTCTGGAAGCTGTTTCTGTCCTTGAGAGAGCTTTTGAGTTTGATATTCCATCAGTACTACTATTTAGACTCAAAATACATTTTCCCCTAGCAAATGAAACAGAAGATGTATTTTTATTTCTAGCAATTTTAGCAAAGACTCTTTAATGCTTGTGTATTTTCCTGCAAGGAACATGTGTGTGTGTGTGTGTGTGTGTGTGTGTGTGTGTGTGTGTGTGTGTGTGTATAGAACTCGATGGCTGAGCTTTAATTGGTCTTTTGTTTGCTTGTATAATCAAGAGTACATGGAAAAGAATACTGTCATAGTAAAAGCTGTTCCTTCTGACATACCCAAAGAAATGGACTAATTTCTATATTCATGCCACTGTACCATCTTCTCTTTGCAAGGCAAATATTAGCAAACTTTACCTTAATTCCCCATCAGTTAAGTCATTATAAAAGACTTAAGTGCTTTCTTTTTAAAATTCTTTTTCCCATGGTTTTTGTGGCTTGTTTTGTATTGCGTATATCTCTAAAACTTGCACCCCAACCAGTGAAATGAATGAATGTGGAAATGAATTAAATTAAATGGCCTTCTGGCCTTATGGAAAGTCTCTCAGTGGCAGAATTGGTGTGTGGCCTACTTTTTCCTAAAATAGAAGGGATTGGATTTGCTTTCTTATGCCAAGAGCTACTTGCTGTTCTTTGTGTTTGTGAATTGTTGATTAGAATTTTCTACATTTACATTTTTTTTAATGCCAATTCTGGGATTTTAACTCAGGGCTTAGGGTCTCTGAGCTTTTGTGCTCAACACTGGTGCTCTACCACTTGAGCCACAACTCCACTTCTAGTTTTTTGGTTGTTAATTGGAGATCAGAGTTTATGAACTTCCCTTCCTGGCTTTGAACCTGAATCCTTAGATCTTGGCCTCCTGAGTAGCTAGGATTGCATGTATGAGTCACCCGTGACTGGCTGATGGTTTTTTATCTAATGCATACTCTAAAAACCTTGTGAGGATTGTTTATCTGGGTTTTTAAGGGAAAGATTAGATAAGAGAAAATAATATTTTCTCATTGTGTATGACTCTAAGATACTCAGTGGCTTAGTGCCTTTTTTTTTTTTTTTAATTGCCAAAATTAGGGAGAGGAAAAGCTAAGTCAAATGCTGGGTGGAATTCTGTCAGTTTAATAGCTGACAGGAAAGCCTGACTTTAATATCTATGACATAACGTGACTCAAAACATTCTACTTTAGTGCAGAAGTGGTTAATGCATTTATTCTTTCATTAGTACCCAGTGAGAGAAATTTTATTCACTATAACATTTAAAAAAATCTTTTATGTCTTTCTATGTCAGGCATTTTTACTTTCTTCTTGCCATACCTTTTGCTTTTATTAGCACACATTAATTAGACAATGTGAGGTATTTCAATGAAATCTTTCATATATGTAAACATTACACTCTGATCACATTAACTTCCCTACTATTTTAAATAATAGAAGAAATTTTTTATTATTTTACCCACTAACAAGGAAGCCAGATAGAAACTGAAGAACATTCTTTCCATACATTTTCCACAAAAAATGTTCTGCCCACTTAAATACAAGTATACAATAAGTATATAATAATGTGATAATTTGCCCCATTGAAAAGTTTTATTCAGTCTCAATAGTTCTCAAGTATTTGCATTTAAATGAGTATGCAAATAGACCTTCCTTCACTGACCCAGTTATCAAAGTAGACTCTAACAGGATTCCTTTGAACTTTTTTTTTTATATTAAATTTTTGTGCCAGCCTGGGGATCTGCACTTGGGGTGTGGAGGGTTATCCTTTAGCTCTCCCCACCCCCATCAATGCTAGCTCTCTACTACTTGAGCCACAGCTCCACATCTGGCTTTTTTTTTTTTTTTTTGGTGGGGAGTGGTTAATTGGAGAAAAGAGACTTGTAGACTTTCCTGCCTGGCCTGGCTTTTAACCACAATCCTCAGATCTCAGCCTCCTGAGTAGCTAGGATTACAGTTGTGAGCCACCCATGTTCAGCTATCTGAAGACTTTCTGATAGTTGTCTGTATGTGTTGCTCCTGAGAAGCCTTTCCACAGTGAGGATGGCTTAAAGGAGCCAGATAAAAGAAACATGATCATTCTTTGCAGAACGTGATTTCTAGGGATGATTCAGAACACCAGCTTCAAGATTGAGGGAAAGCAGTTCCTTCTACAACTGAGAGGGAGAGAGAGGGAGAAAGGGGGGGAGGGGAGAGGGAGGGAAGGAGAGAGAGAGAGAGAGAGAGAGAGAGAGAGAGAGAGAGAGGGAGAGGGAGAGGGAGAGAGAGAGGGAGAGAGGAGGGAGGGAGGGGGGTGTAATGTCAAGCCCCTCCACCCAGCTGAAACAGAGCAGCATTTAGGTAAAACATTTGCCCAATTCAATGTACTATATCTAATAGTTAAAAATTAAAAAAAAGAAAAAAACAACTCCTTTCAGCTTGGGGCTCATATGGCAGCTATGTTGTGACTGAATTGTTTTTTAAATACTTGTGATAATGCTTCTGTTTCTAAAAGTCCTTTTCTTTCTGAAAGTCCTAGTAATTACAGTAATGGTTAACATTTGTGTACCAGGAACTGCTAGTAGCTGTACAAATATTTATTTTTTTAACATCCCTGGCAGGGAGGCTCTGTCTTTTCTAGAATAACATCTTTTCCCTCAACATTG